CCCCCTCTTCTCTTTCTCCCTCCCCGCTCCTCCTCCTCCTGCTGAACAACTACTCCCTGTCGCACCCGAGGCCTGTCGAAAGGGCGGGCCGGGCGTTTCGCCTGAGACTCATTTTACCATCTATGGTCCTGAAGCTCAAAATTTGCCGCATCTTCTCGGATGGAGGGCAGGTGGTGTTCAAAATGTGTCTCTACCCCTAGCGCCGCTGACATTCGCTTTAAAAGTTCGCGCAAAGCTTCACGGATGGAGGTCGGGTCGTTTTCAAAATGTGGCTCTCGCCATAGCGCCGCGCACGCACGTCGTAATCATTCGCACAAAAGCTTCAGGGATGAACAGCGGGTCGTGGTGGCTCTCGCCTGTGGGCCGCGCACAGTTGTTTTAAGATCTCGCCATAGGTTCAAAGATTTGCATGGCTAACGCCCCAGACATGGTGTTTTGGCAAGGTGTCGGACTGTCACGGCGCAACAGTCACGTTTATTCGCGGTGCTGAAATTCCAGGAGCGGTGCTACGGCAGGTTTCAAGATCGTGAATACGCACCCGTAACGGTGACTCGTGGCGCTAGCTCACAAAAATGGTGTTCTGGCAAAGTTCGAAATGTTCAAACGTTTGCCTTCCAACGGGGCACTTCCCCGAGTGTAACTGACTCCTTGCAGGGGGCCAACGAAGAGGGAAATTGCAGGGAGGATGCATTGCAACTCCGTTGACGAACGGGCTTGCACTTATCATCCTCCTCTTCCTCCTTTTCCTCCTCATCGTCCTCCTCCTCATCATCATCGTCCTCCTCATCTTCCTCCCTCTTTTCCTCCTCTTCCTCCTCCTCATCCACCTCTTCTTTTTTTTCCTCCTACTCCTCCTCCACCTCTTCCCCCCCTCCCTCCCTCCCTCTTCCCATCTCTCCCCCCCTCCCTCCCCCCTTCCCAAAACGCTCAGGGGCCCCCGAATGGGCGCCCAACCCCGTCACCGGGGTTATGGTTCCGGGCCCCTCGCAAGCCAGAGGCCAGACACAGCCTCTTCGACGGCTGGCCCCGTGGCGTTCCTGGCATGGCTGTGGCTTCCAGTTCTGGTACCGAACCACCGTTCGGCAGACCCCTCGTGCGGACCGACTGGTGGAACGCACGGCGGACCCGGTGGCGTTTCTGCCAAACTGGTGCGTTCCAAAGCTTCCGGAATCTCCTCTTCCATGGCTGAATTATGCAGCGTCAGCGCCAGATTGAAAGAGGAACCACAAGGAGGGCGGCCCGGGAGGCGGAAGGGAGGGAAGGAAAAAGGGGCGGGGGGCGGAGGGCGGAGGGCGGGCCGGTCGGGGTGATTGGGCCAGCGGGCGCGGAGGTCGCAGGGGGGGTCGAGGTGGGGCCAGCGGCAGCCGCTGTTGCTTTGCTGGCGGGGGAGGTGATCATTGTGGTGGTCGAGTTGAGCGGGCTGGCGGTCAGGCCCCGTGATCGTGGACGCGGTAGCTTGGGTGGTGGTCACGCTGCTGGTTGACGTGCTGGTAGCGGTCGGGCGTAAATATGGCAGCGGTCGTGCTGGTGATGCTGTTGCTGGTAATGGTGGTCGGGGTGGCGGCCGCAAGAGTCGTAGTGGCCGAAGTTCGTCACAGCCGCGGTGGTAGACACAGCCGATGTTGGCGGCCGCGCTGGTGGGCATAGCGTTAGTGCCGACCCTAACCTAACGCCCGATTGCACCGAGCAGCATCTCTGCCCGTTTGCAGGCGCCTGCTGATTTGCCTCCACAACGTCCCGAAGACCTCGACCCGGTCAGCGTCGTCACGCCCACGACCGCACGACCTGATGAGCTCGTCGTCCGTGTCGGACGGGGGCGCCAAGTTCGTGTTGCGGGGGGTAGCTGTCGCGCTTGTCATGAACCATCTGCGCCGCCGCGATCCCGTCGTTGTTGGATCGAGCTCGCTTGCGAGGGCCGTGGGTGCTGCATTCGCAAGTTGTGTTCCAATCCACGTACACAGGCTGACTTGTGTTGGGGCTCCGTGCGCAAACGTTCAACCTCGTCTCCTCCATGACGCCCACCCGCGGGCTGAGTCTGTCACAACCAGGAACATGTTGCTCGACAGCGGCGTAGTAGTCCGTGAGGCGAGGGTGTGAGGGGGGAGAACGTGCCAGCCCCGCATGCTGTCGTGGCGGCCTGGCGGCGTGTGCGGGACCCGCCAGTAGGGCAGCAGTGGGCATGCCACGCGTGCGCGTCCAAGGGCTCGCTGCGCGAAAACCCAAGTTGTCGGCGTGTTTTTCGTGGAAACGAGCCTCGGGCAGGCACACCAGCACCCTCAAGCGCTGAACATGCCTGTTTGGGCTCCTCCTCCTCCTCCTCCTCCTCTTCCTCCTCCTCCTCCTCCTCCTCCTCCTCCTCCTCCTCCTCCTCCTCCCCTCCCCTCCTCCTCCTCCCTCCTCCTCCTCCTCCTCCTCCTCCTCTCCTGCTCCTCCTCCTCCTCCTCCTCCTCCTCCTCCTCTCCTCCTCCTCCTCCCCCTCCTCCTCCTCCTCCTCCTTCTCCTCCTCCCTTCTCCTCCTCCTCCTCCTCCTCCTCCTCCTCTTCCTCCTCCTCCCTCCTCCTCCTCCTCTTCCTCCTCCTCCTCCTCCACCCTCCTCCTCCTCCTCCTCCTCCTCCTCCTCCCTCCTCCTCCTCCTCCTCCTCTTCCATGGGCTGGTCACCCTCCTCTCGGGGGAACGGGAAACCCCGTGCGCCCGGTCCGCCTGATCCACGGAATTGGACCTGGTCGTCCCCCAATGCTCCCAGCAGGCGTTCCCTCCCGGCCGTAGACCTCGCCTTGCCCCACTGCCCCTGCAGCTTCAGTTCCGGTTCCTGGAGGGTGCCCAACCACTCGAAACGGTAGTCCTCCATCATTCCTTTCGTTCGCAGCGCCGTCTCCCGCCTCCCGCAGCAACGGAATGAAGCTGCAAGGGGCAGCAGGCCCGAAAATCCTCCCTCCCTCCCTCCCTCCCTCCCTCCCTCCCTCCCTCCCTCCCTCCCTCTCCTCCTCCTCCTCCTCCTCCTCCTCCTCTTCTCCCAGTTTTTTCCTTATACCAAAACTCCTCCCTGTCGCACCCGAGGCCAGTCGAAAGGGCGGGCCAGGCGTGCCTGAGACTCCCTCACTACTTATGATCCTGAAGCTTACAAGTGGGCAAGCGTTTCGCAAGTGGAGGGCGGGTGGTTTTCAATGTGTGGCTCTCGCCTTAGCGACGCGCACATTCGTCTTGACATATTACACGAGTTTCACAGATTGAGAGCGGTTGGTTTTCAAAGTGTAGCTCTCGCCTTAGCGCCGCGCTCACTCATCTTACAAAGTCGCGAGAGTTTCACGGATTGAGAACGGTTCTTTCCAAAATGCGGCTCTCGCCTTAGCACCGCGCACTCGTTTTACAAACTTGGAAGGATTTCACATATTCCCATGGTCAACGTACCAGAAATTGCGTGTACGAAGAATCTAGACTTGTGAGGATGCATTTTTGTTGGTTTCGCGGTGTTGAAGTCCCAGGAACGGTGCTCTGGCACGATTCAGGATCGTCAAGACGCAACAGTTAGGTTGATCCGTGGCGTCGGAGTCTCGAGAATGGTGTTTCGGCATGCCACAGGGTCTTCAAGCGGTTGTCTCCCAACGAGGCAGTTCTCTCAGTGGAAGTGAACCCTTGCAAGGGCCTATGAAGAGGGAGCTCGGAAGGAGGGTTTATTCTAACGTCCCTGATGAGTCTTGGGTTTACACTGGTCCTCCTCCTCCTCCTCCTCCTCCTCCTCCTCCTCCTCCTCCTCCTCCTCCTCCTCCTCCCCCTCCTCCTCCTCCTCCCCCCTCTCCTCCTCTCCTCCTCCTCCTCCTCCTCCTCCTCCTCCTCCTCCTCCTCCTCCTCCTCCTCCTCCTCCTCCTCCTCCTCCTCCTCCTCCTCCTCCTCCTCCTCCCTCCTCCTCCTCCTCCTCCTCCTCCTCCTCCTCCTCCTCCTCCTCCTCCTCCTCCTCCTCCTCCTCCTCCTCCTCCTCCTCCTCCTCCTCCTCCTCCTCCTCCTCCTCCTCCTCCTCCTCCTCCTCCTCCTCCTCCTCCTCCTCCTCCTCCTCCTCCTCCTCTCCCAATCTTTCCCTTATACAAAACTCCTCACTGTCGCACCCGAGGCCGGTCGAAAGGGCGGGCCAGGCGTTTCGCCTGAGACTCCCTCACCATTCATGACCCTGGAGCTTACAAATTGGCAACCGTTTCACAAGTGGAGGGCGGGTGGATTTCAAAATGTGGCTCTCACCTTACCGGCGCGCACATTCATCTTGACAAATTACACGTCGGTCGGAAGAAGTAGGTAAAAACATGAAGTAGGAAGGCGGATTAAGTTGATTGGGTCCAGGCCCCCCCAGAGAATAACAAAACACAGCAAAAGCGTGTCGATTCTTGAAGTAGGAAGGCGCTTGAAGTAGATTGGGATCTGGGAATCCAAAAATACCTACTTTCAACGACCGGCGTGTACACGAGTTTCACAGATTGAGAGCGGTTGGTTTTCAAAATGTGGCTCTCGCCTTTGCGCCGCGCTCACTCATCTTACAAAGTCGCGAGAGTTTCACGGATCGAAGACGGCTCGCTTCCAAAATATGGCTATCTCCTTAGCACCGCGCACTCGTTTTACAAACTTGGAAGGATTTCACATATTCCCATAGTCAACGTACCAGAAATTGCGTTTACGAAGAATCTAGACTTGCGAGTGTGCAAAATGTATGTTGATTCGCGGTGTTGAAGTTCCAGGAATGGTGCCCTGGCACGATTCAGAATCGTCAAGACGCAACAGTTAGGTTGATCCGTGGTGTTAGAGTCTCGAGAATGGTATTTCTGCACGCTTCAGGGTCTTCAAGCCGCTCCCAACGAGACAGTTCCCTCAGTGGAAATGATCCCTTGCAGGGGCCTATGTGGAGGGAGCTCGGAGGGAGGGTTTATTATAGCATCGCTGATAAGTCTTGGGTTTACACTGATCCTCCTCATCATCATCATCATCCTCATCCTCCTCCTCCTCATCATCATCATCG